AAAAAAAAAGAAAGAAAAGCTGTAAACTTGGTCAAAAGCCCAAGGCTCAGGACGTCATAGGCCCTAGGGGAGAACTCACTATTGCTTTGTCAGATGGAATGTTGTCAAACTGCCTTCTAAATATTTATGTTTATTACCCACAGACTAGTGCTGTTCTTAATCTTAGCCAGAGAAGTTTCCGCAGTGGACAGCAGTTAGTGCAGAGACTCATAACTAGTCAGAGTACTGGGAATAAATGACTACCAGTACTCAACTTTAAACGGGACATCTATATCAACTGCCCCTCCCCGCTTCAAGGCACAAGGACTGTCACAGCAGAGAAGGTGGGAAGAATGCAGGAGCCAGAGGAGGACAGGGGTGTTGTGAAATGCTGTCTGCTGCACATGATGTGGCCATTGCACTCATTAACTCATGGCAATGATTGTTCCCAGCACAAGACCAAGACAGCAAGATCAGTGTTCCAGCCAGTGGGCGGCACTAATTGGACTTGGGTTATAAAATAAAAGGAAATGAGTGAAGATGAGAAGGGGAGGTGTTGGGGAGGTGTCAGGGAGAATAAGAGGGGGAACTTGGAAGCAGATGTGATCAACACACATTGTATACGTGTATGAAATTGTCAAAGAATAAATAAAAGATCTAAAATAAAGCCAGGTGTTGGTGGCTCATGCCTTTAATCTCAGCACTTGGAAGGCAGAGACAGGTGGATCTCTATGAATTCAAGGCCGGCCTGGTCTATAGAGCAAGTTTTAGAACAGCCAGGGAGGTTACACAGAGAAGCTCTGTCTCAAAAAAACAAAAAAGAAAAAAAAAATTAAAAATAGTCTGAATCTCCGAAGTTCAGGATGGAAAAGGCAGGACTGCTACTCAGTTCAGTCTTTGGGGCAGGGTCTCGGGAGCTGGGATTACGGGCATGGGCAGCCACATCCAGTTTCCTGCGGTGCTAGCGATGGAACCAGGGCTTCATGCCTTCTAGGCAAACCCTCTACCAACCCTGTCACCTCCCCAGCCCCAAATTAAATATTCTCATCCCTTCCTTGCCCCCAGTGCCCAGATTAAAAAGCTGCTGCTGCCTAACTGCAGAGCGTGCAGTGTAAGGGGACATGCATTCATGTGCGTTACCAGGTGCAGTCCTTGAATATTCTGTGGAATTGAGTGCAATTTTAGCTCCTACTTGAGCAGGTTTGGTAGCAAGCGAAAA